ATATATATATATATATATTTATATATATATATATATATATATATATATTTATATATATATATATATATATATATATATATATATATATATATATATATTTATATAATAGTCTAATTCGTATACAATACAGTCTTTAATGTATTTATGACTAGGCTTCCTGAAAGCTCTGGGGGCAGATTAAGCCATTTGCATATCTTGTTTGGCTGATTAGTTTAGTGTATTGGTAGTGATGGGGTGATGGGGGAGGGAGGGATGGGGCTTGGTTTATTGATGGGCGGGAGGGGCGAGGCTGTGTAGCCTGGAGGGGCTGTAACACACACACACACACACACACACACACACACACACACACACACACACACACACACACACACACACACACACACACACACACACACACACAAGAATTACCACTAGGCGTGTACCTGGAACCGACCACTTGTACTGATTTACGATGCAAATCAAAACACAAACAAACAAACAAACAAACAGCGTGATGCGCTCTCCCAGTGGTTACGTAGGCTGGAATGTTATTTAACCCCCTTCCCTCCCCCTCTCCCCCCCCCCCCCCCCCGAATGAGTGACGTAAACGAATGGCAACCGACCCCGTCACCCCACTGTGTCATAATCCCGCTGCTCTCACTGATAAAAATACATCACCACTGGGCTTGCGGGGGTAAGTCCGCTACGGGCTCGCCATAGCCCGTGCTACTTAGAACTTGTTCCGAGTAGCTGAATCTATAACACCAACAACAACAACCCATTGGTGTCCCCTGGGTGTGGGGTGTTAGGGCAGAACTGCTCACCTCATATGTGGACTGCTGTGAGGTGAATGAGAGATGAGGGTGATATTCATGGGCTCCACTTTATACGGTCCTACAGCAGGAGCATATTCGGCAGTTCGTTCACATGTCCGTCCGTTCGTCCCACACGAATGAGGTCAGACTAAGAACTGGGATATGAGGGCGGTTGCGGAAGATTGTGATTCTCTCAACACGGAAACTTTAGTGTGTGTGTTTGTGTGTGTGTGTGTTTGTGTGTGTGTGTTTGTGTGTTTGTGTGTGTGTTTGTGTGTGTGTGTTTGTGTTTGTGTGTTTGTGTGTGTGTGTGTGTGTTTGTGTGTGTGTGTGTGTGTTTGTGTGTGTGTTTGTGTGTGTGTGTGTTTGTGTGTGTGTTTGTGTGTGTGTGTGTGTTTGTGTGTGTGTGTTTGTGTGTGTGTGTTTGTGTGTGTGTGTGTGTTTGTGTGTGTGTAATTACCTAAGTGTAGTTACAGGATGAGAGCTACGCTCGTGGTGTCCCGTCTTCCCAGCACTCTGTCATATAACGCTTTGAAACTACTGGCGGTCTTGGCCTCCACCACCTTCTCACCTAACTTGTTCCACGTGTGTGTGTGTGTGTGTGTGTGTGTGTGTGTGTGTGTGTGTGTGTGTGTGTGTGTGTGTGTGTGTGTGTGTGTGTACTCACCTAGTTGTGCTTGCGGGGGTTGAGCTTTGGTTCTTTGGTCCCGCCTCTGGACTGTCAATCAACTGGTGGTCCTGTGTGTTTGTGTGGGGCGGGGGGGGGGAGGGGGAATGGAGAAACGGTTAAAGGGGAAAAAACTGTACAGGGAAAAAAACTGTACAGGGAAAAAAACATAGATGATTGACAACGTCGCTCAACGCGCTTAGGGGAATGATATACTACCAAGAGCGAGGAGGAGCCACGTCGTCTCGAGCCGCGGGAAACCTGGTAAAGCCTCGAACCTGGTAAACTCGAGCTACACTCACACAAACGAGTTTACCTGTGTGTCGGCGTGCGCGCCAGTAGACTACACTCCCGAGATCGTTGGACTTGGCATCGTTGGTTTACAAACTGCCGCAACGCGTCGCTTTGCAAGCCACAACAACGTGGCTTAAGATACACAACTGCCGTCATCAGTTTAGAAACCACCCATAAGGCGCCATGGGTGGAGGGAAAACAGCAGCTAAGCAGCAGCAGTAGCAGCAACAGCAACAGCACCACCACCCACCAGCAGCACCAGCAACAGCAAGAACAGCATCCTTGCCATCCTACCCCCCCCCCCATTACATAAATAAAATAATTCTTCCCAACCCATTACCATACACAAAATATTTCACCAACATCTACCAACCCCCCCCCCCCTATTACAAGACCCACTATTTCCCACCAATCCCTATTTACGTACCTGCATAGCCTCCCTGTCCCCTCCGACGGCCCCCCACCCCTCCCTCCTATCGCCACCTATACAATCTAACCATTTCACCTTTGTCCCCTCACACTAGCCCGCCACTAACATTACTCACCACGGGGGGATATATTTCTACCTGGGAGTGGGCTGTGGGCAGGAAGTTCCCACACCAGAAGTACTCTCCCCAGGTACCCACACGCCCCCAGCGTCCATTCCCAGGTACCCACACGCCCCCAGCGTCCATTCCCAGGTACCCACACGCCCCCAACATTCATCCCCCAGGTACCCACACGCCCCCAATGTCTACTTCCATGTCGGGATCCGTCAGTAAAATATGTTGTTGTGAGGAAGATAAATTGACGAGATATGGGAGAGACAAGTGGAACGGGAGAGATTAGGGGGGGAAAGGAAAGGAAAGGGAGGGATAGGGACCAACGATAGAGGAAGGTAATGCCATAAAGAGGCCAAAGGGACGGAAAAGCAAGATGATAGATAAAGGTGATAAAAGGAATACAAAAGATGGGGGTAATTGGGTTGATGAAAAATAAAGGGATCTTTGTGTACTAACCTTAATATGTTTGCCAGGATCGAGAGTTAACTCCTGGGCCCCACCTTACCAGCTGTCGGTTGTCTAGAGCATTGACTCGACCCGCTTCTTTTCTCTCTCTCTCGTATCTACTTGTCGCTGCTCTATCTTCTGCTGTCTTTTCCCTCTAATTCATTCCATTTGCTCACTGCTCTTTTTACCCTTGAAGCTTATTTCCTTTCGTCTCCATGACTCGTCTGGACGACGAGTCATGGAGACGAGGCTGGATATATGATGACCAGAAGACGAGGAGACGACGACGACGACGTTTCAGTTTATAGTCATCATGACTTAGTCTAACTCTTAATTCTGCCTTCCACTGACGTGAGGTCTCAAGTCTTTGAGTCTCCTCGCAACTCAATCCCCTCAGCTCTGGGACCAGGTTGGTAGCATACCTGTAGACTTTCTCCAACATTACTTGTGTAAAGGAGGAAATGTATATGTTTATCTCTCAGAATGTTTGGTAATATGTTTATTGTTTGCGATGTGTGTCTATGTATGTATTAACACGATGTACTGAACGGGGTGAGAATAGCTTGAGCTACCTCATCCCTTTGTGTGTATTTTACCTCAATAAACTTATTTCAATTTTAATTTCTCCAGCATCGTTCACGCGAACTCTCCTTGATGTACTCGCCTGGAAATGCTTAGTGAGACGAGGGTCCGAGATTGCTAGTGGTTCCCATAAAGGTCCTCCAGTAAGGTCTCAAGGTCTTGAAGTCCCCTTGGCTTGGGTCCTCTGGGTGCCCATTGTAAGCCACTCAACCGCACTGAGCTCCCTGTCCTCGGCCAGGCAGCCCTCCTTCAGGTATTCAGGTGCATGTCCTTCAGTCCCATGACTCCAGGACCCCGTGAAAGACGATTACCGTGTGTTTGTGTACCTCAGGGGCCCTGGTGAGAAGGCCCCGACGGGACCGGACCGGACGGAACCATGCTAGGGAGGGTCGACCAGCACGCCATCTCGCGTTATCACGTCACAAATATGATGTATTATTCCGCATTCTAAAATGCAGAATAATACATTGCTATGTTTTATTTTAAAAACTTAAAACTTAAAAACTTTATTTTAAATTTTTGTTTTATTTCTTTATCCTCCTTCGGGATAAAGAGGCCGGGATAAAGCCCAAGGTTTATTTGCACGAAGAAATCGCATTAACGTGATAAATCATTGAGAAAATCAGTAGGAGTCCTGAAGAGGACTCGAACCTGCACTCTGGGAACGTAGACCACTGCACCAGGCTTTAGTATACTACGACTCTGCTTCTGAAGAGAAAGAAATGACCATATTAGTTTGAGACATTAGGAACGTCTCGTATCGATTGTAGATTGACGCAAACTGCATCCAACCATTGTGGGGAGACGCAGGTAGTAGCGATAAGACTGTGAAGTCCAACAGGGGTAGTTGAACAGTCAAACTACCAACCCATGAAACAACTCCAAGCACGGGCCTCTCAAAGTTGAATACCTTTGCGATTTAAGAAGAAACTAGCCGAACACTAAGGCAGGACTAGCCTAGTTGATTGTTGGAACAAGTTAAGTCGTGTAGATTAATAAGAGGTTTCAGGACGACTAGAAATTTGAAAACATATTATTTAGAGACTCGTGTGTGTGTGTGTGTGTGTGTGTGTGTGTGTGTGTGTGTGTGTGTGTGTGGCGCTGAAGGACCGGCTTGAGGTCCCACGGCTGAGGTGTCATGGGACCTCTCAAGGCCAAGGTCCCAAGGTCCCAGAACTCATCCAGCTGCCGAGTCCTAGCTCTTTTAAGATCTTAATGAAAATAATGAGACGAGGAGCAGGAGCAGGATGCAAGGCGAGACAGAAGAAAGGGGGACAATAGGGAGAGGGGAGAGAGAGAGAAGTTTACTAGGAGAGGGAGAAGGGTGAGAGATGTTTGGGGTAGTGGGAGGGGAGATGAGTTTACCAGTGGGTGATTTCGAGTGTGTGTATATTGATGTGTTGTGGTGCGGGATATGAGAAATATGTAGCAATGGGAAGGGTGAGGCGAGAAGGGACCGTGAACAAAGTGACGAGAGGAAAGGTGTAAGGAAAGGAACGGAGGTAAACCGATAGTGTAAGAGGGATTAGTTGATTCGGGAAGAGGGGGGGATAAGAGTAGGGGTGAAGGGGAAGGGATGCAGGACACCAGAGAGGGAGGAAAGCCAGAAGGTAGAGAGAGAGAGAGAGAGAGGGCGCCAAATGGAGAGAGAGGGGGAGGGTCGTGATGGTTTCAAAAGATTCTGGGACTTGTATACTGGCATAGTCCACGGTTATGTTGCAGCGGAGGGGGCAGGCCCTTTGTGCTCTGGTCGGTGGCGGGTGGCGTGCCATCGGATCTTGGTGGCGTGCCATCGGGTCTTGGTGGCGTGCCATCGGGTCTTGGTGGCGTGCCATCGGGTCTTGGTGGCGTGCCATCGGATCTTGGTGGCGTGCCATCGGGTCTTGGTGGCGTGCCATCGGGTCTTGGTGGCGTGCCATCGGGTCTTGGTGGCGTGCCATCGGGTCTTGGTGGCGTGCCATCGGGTCTTGGTGGCGTGCCATCGGGTCTTGGTGGCGTGCCATCGGGTCTTGGTGGCGTGCCATCGGATCTTGGTGGCACGCTGGCTAGTGGAGGCTGTTGACTTACTTGCATGTCGGGAGAGTTGTTCTTGAACAGTTTATGGCTCGTAGCAGCGTTTCCGTGGCTTGCGATGCTTGCATTATCCCTCAGGTCTTTACAGCTTTGCAAAGGTATAAAGTGCAAGCTTTATACGAGCCATTATGCAAGCCATTAATTAAGAGACCTATGGGTATCTTAATGGCTTGCGAAGAGTAGGCAGCCTTTGCTTCGATCTACGACGCCTTAGTGGCTTGTTGGTGCCGGCTGTTAACTGTAATTGTTGTATTTTTCTACAAAGAAACGCATTTGATGCCTTTGCTAGTGTGCTCTGATGTTTGCTAGTGTGCTCTGATGTTTGCTAGTGTGCTCTGATGTTTGCTAGTGTGACTGACACCTTGCTAGTGTGCTCTGATGTTTGCTAGTGTGCTCTGATGTTTGCTAGTGTGCTCTGATGTTTGCTAGTGTGCTCTGATGTTTGCTAGTGTGCTCTGATGTTTGCTAGTGTGCTCTGATGTTTGCTAGTGTGCTCTGATGTTTGCTAGTGTGCTCTGATGTTTGCTAGTGTGCTCTGATGTTTGCTAGTGTGACTGACACCTTGCTAGTGTGTCTGACACCTTGCTAGTGTGTTTTGCTGCCATACAAGTAGTGTGCGTGATGCCTAGGAAGTAATTGTGTGTTTTGCATGCATGAGGTACATTGTAATGAACCCTGTAATTAAATACCGTTTTTGCGAACTTAAGAGTGTTCGCGCCCCCCTCTTTCGCTATCACCGCGACCGTAAGAGCTCTCTCGCTCCTATCTGTGTATTCACCGCGTTTTGATAATGAGCGGGTGTGTGTGTGAGAGACAGGTGTGTGTGTGTGTGTGTTGCCAGGGGCCCGGCCCACTCCTACAAACCCAGCTTCAATTTGGATTGGATGCCTTGGCCTGCTCTTAATCTGCCCCCTCGCCTACCTTCCCCGCCTCTCATCTCATCTCCCCTCCCCCTGCCCCTCATTTCCCCTCCCCCCTGCCCCTCGGGAAGACCCCCAGGGTTTGCCAGGGCGACAAAGGGGGTATCTGGCAGGCAACTTTACACATTTACATGTGTGTAAAGGCTGGAGTATAATATTAATGCTTAGTGAATGAATGCCTTTATGATGTGCTAAGATCTTGGGTTTATTCTAACATCGTAGTGTGTAAGATGGAGAGTGGAGAGGAACTCACTGAGTTCAAGCTAACATCATAGTGTGTAAGATGGAGAGTGGAGAGGAACTCAGAGTTCAAGCTAACATCATAGTGTGTAAGATGGAGAGTGGAGAGGAACTCACTGAGTTCAAGCTAACATCATAGTGTGTAAGATGGAGAGTGGAGAGGAACTCACTGAGTTCAAGCTAACATCATAGTGTGTAAGATGGAGAGTGGAGAGGAACTCACTGAGTTCAAGCTAACATCATAGTGTGTAAGATGGAGAGTGGAGAGGAACTCACTGAGTTCAAGCTAACATCATAGTGTGTAAGATGGAGAGTGGAGAGGAACTCACTGAGTTCAAGCTAACATCATAGTGTGTAAGATGGAGAGTGGAGAGGAACTCACTGAGTTCAAGCTATTGAATGTTGAAAGATTGCAAGTCTGGAAGATAATATGATAATTTTCACGACTGAATTTTGAATGTTCTCAGCACATAGATAACTGTTGGAGAGAGACGTGTTCTATTTCTTATCTCGAAGATAGTAGATATAGATAGATATAGATGGCAGCAATTGTACCCTTCCTTACTTGCTTCATATTTTTTATTTGATTTCTTGTTCACCTTCCTAACTCTTTCTCCTCCGTCCTCTCTCTTCCCAACTTCGTCCCTTCCATCAGTCTCTTATTTAAAATAGCATCTTCCCCTTCCAATTTTAGCTTTCATATTTACTCCCTCCTGTTGTTATATGTTATAGATTCAGCTACTCGGAACAAGTTCCAAGTAGCACGGGCTATGGTGAGCCCGTAGTGGACTTACCTGGCACAGGAGCGGGGCTGTCGTACTCCCTCCTCTTTCTTCATTCTTATATTGTTCTCCACCCTCTCTCCCTTGGTATAACACTCCCTGCCCCTCACCTATCCCCCCCCCCTATCCCTTTATCCCACCTCCTCGTCCCTTAGATCACCTTCCAGCCCTCACCCTCCCCCCCCCACAGCCCTCACCCTCCCCCCCCCCCTCAGCCCTCACCCTCCCCCCCCCCCTCAGCCCTCACCCTCCCCCCCCCTCAGCCCTCACCCTCCCCCCCCACCCTCCCCCCCCCCCCCCCCTCAGCCCTCACCCCCCCTCAGCCCTCACCCTTCCCCCCCCCCAGCCCTCACCCTCCCCCCCCCAGCCCTCACTCTCCCCCCCCAGCCCTCACCCTCCCCCCCAGCCCTCACCCTTCCCCCCCCAGCCCTCACCCTTCCCCCCCCCAGCCCTCACCCTTCCCCCCCAGCCCTCACCCTCCCCCCCCCCCAGCCCTCACCCTCCCCCCCCCCCAGCCCTCACCCTCCCCCCCCATTCCTGCTGCCAAGATGTTGTGGCATGCATTACAGCAATTACAGCAAGGCGGACAGCCCGCCTGCTTTCGTACCTCTCACTGTATTTCCCACTTCTATAGTGATGGTGTGAGGGGGCCACCATGACAGACCAGCGACCATCATAATACTGCCACTGAAATGGTTCATTCAGGTGTTCCTGCAGCTGCTCTGAATGCAGCCGTTTTTTTTTTTTTTTTGCCTATAAATCCAAAACCCGTTTTTAGCAATGCACGCGATGTGACCGCTAGTGACAGCGCTAGTCACAGGCGGCCCCACGTCACTGCTGTAGCCACAGTAGCAGCAGTAAGGATGAGTAACCCGATGGTCAAAGAGTGGGGGGGGGGAATGCAAGCCCAATTGAAGCCCTCCACAAGTCCACTCAACTGCAGCCAGGACTTGCTGTAGTGAATGGGGGGGGGGGAGGAGGGAGCGATCTTTCCCATGTCCCCCCCACTCCCATGGGCCTCACCGTACTGGGGACCCCATTGTTTATAAGGACCTACATCCTATTTTTGATCATCCTGCCAATGCCTGGGATACATTCTTGACCATGTCACGTATTATCCCCGTCTTGCTAAGGGGTCAATAATGTCTGTTTTTATTTAAAAAATAAGATATAATCTCGTATATAATGTTTGATGTGATTAATTTAAAGGCACTATCAACCTCAAGGGGGGGAGGGGGAGGAATGGGCTACTAGCTAGTATTTTTGACAATAATAGTTTACCAGGATTTGAGAATAGATTAGGTGGCATTTTGATGACGGGGGGGGGGGAAAGCGGGATTTAATCAGGACCCACCTAGTATAGGTCAACAGGACTGCTGCTTTAGCTACGCTGCTCTATAATGTTATGTATGATTAAGTTCTTGAGAAATTAAGATCAAGGATCTTAGGATCAAAGATCACCAGAGCAACCCACCGCGGCCTTCAGGACGAAAACTTGCTGCTCTAATGTGATCGATCGTGTCGAATTTGCATGATAAACGCGTACCTTACTGCCGTGGGAGTGGTTGGAGGGAGGAACCATTGAGGTTTTGAGGAAGGGGGAGGAGGGAGAATTAATGCCGGCAGCAACAGCAGCAGAAGCGGCAGCAGCAGCAGCAGTAACAGGCGCAGCAGCAGCAGCAGCAGCAGGGGGAGAAGGTTCAAGTATTGTAGGGCTGACCTATGCCAGTCCCCGGCGGAGATTAGTAGATCATTATGCAAAGCTTGCCCAATAGTTCATTTATCACTCTGGGTCAGGTCCTTAATAGCCTACTTAAAAAAAAAAAATACTAAGCAACTATACTGGCTTGGCTCAGACTGTGATTTACCTGTGATTGGTCTTACAGGTTGTTTGGGGAGGGGGCGGGGGGGGGGGCCTTCGCCAGCCCCGACCTAAGACTTCTCATGCACGAAGACTACCAAAATGTTCACGGAGATTACTCCAAGATTAGAAAATGGAGTTCCGCACATCATGTGGTCTAAGAACAGGTATTCTGCTCGACTCTTTACAAACAGTACTGGAATACACCCTCTGGGTATTGCTCAGTATACACAATGGAGTGTTGTTCAGTATACACACTGGAAGACACCACTAAAACAGCGTGAAAATACTTTAGAAACACTAGGGGGGCATTAATCACCGAGTCAGGCATTAATATTGAGGCAGTCTCCAAATCTTGAGTGGGCGAGGCCTGGTCGAGGACCGGGCCGCGGGGACGTTGAGCCCCGAAATCATCGCAAGGTAACCGGGTCCTTGAGGTAACCACCAGTGATTGAAGCCGCTAAACCCGTGTGGTCAGGGTCCTGATGTGTTATCTTCTTGAGGTTATCTTGAGATGATTTCGGGGCTTCAGTGTCCCCGCGGCCCGGTCCTCGACAAGGCCTCCTGTTAAAGTGGTTCTGTAACTTATCACCAATTGGGTAGTACTGTGATAGTGGCATTAAGATGCAGCCATTATGAGTTATGAAGAGTTGTGAAGAGTCGGTGGTGTTTGTGTTGTACTCACCTAGTTGTGCTTAGGGAGGGGGGGGGGTGAGTGCTGGCTCTTTGGTCCCGCCTCTCAACTGTCAATCAACTGGTGTACAGATGGGGTCCACGGTTCGAGGATCCTAGAGCCCAGGTGAATGGAGCACTTCCTTCTGAAGCAAGCAGCAGCAGCGGTAGTAGTCACAGCAGCAGCAGCAGTCACAGCAGCAGCAGTCACAGCAACAGCAGCAGCAGTCACAGCAGCAGCAGTCACAGCAGCAGCAGCAGCAGTCACAGCAGCAGCAGCAGCAGCAGTCACAGCAGCAGCAGTCACAGCAGCAGCAGCAGCAGTCACAGCAGCAGCAGCAGCAGTCACAGCAGCAGCAGCAGCAGTCACAGCAGCTGCTGCGACCCGGATTCCGATTCCAATGTCTTCACGTCAGCCACCAGCGACGGCTGAAGCTATACGTCTGACCTACAGCGTGTTAAGGGGCCTTCTTGATTGATTGATTGCCTCACCCCGGAAGCTGCCGCCAGCTGAGCGGCACACGT